GCAAGGAAAGTTGCAACTTATCAACGTCTGTCTGGCGCATTGACAGTCGCTGAATTGGAGGAAGCAGAAACGGTTCTAGTTAAAGATGCACAGTCAGCGATAAAACCCTTAATCCAGAAGAATGAATTCAGAAATCTGGCAGCATTCATTGATGATGATGGTATCATCCGCGTCGGAGGCCGAATTGAGAACGCACCAGTTTCATATGAGACTCGACATCCACCCATTATTCCACGTTGTCACTGGCTATCTACCCTAATCGTAAGACAAGCACACCAGTATGGACATCTCGGCGTAGCGGCAACCGCAGCAAAGACACGGAAAAGATTCTGGATCGTCGGCGTACACCACATTGCGAAGAGTGTGAAATTCAAGTGCGTCTTCTGTCGGCAGAGGGCACAGAAAAACGAAATACAAATGATGGCAAACCTCCCACCATATCGACTTGCACCATTCACACCACCGTTCTTTTATACAGCTGTCGACCTGTTTGGTCCTATCAAAGTCAAAGTTGGCCGAAATAAGACCGACAAATATTGGGGTGTCTTATTTACATGTCTGAACGTCAGAGCTGTTTACATTGACGTTGCAACGGATTACTCGACTCCTGGTATTTTACCCGTACTGAGAAGATTCTTCTGCATCCGGGGCTATCCACGCTGTCTGTGGAGTGACCGAGGAAGTCAACTAGTAGGTGCCGAAGCCGAGTTACGGAAAGTCATTGAGGGAAGAGATACAACAGAACTGAGAGATTTCCTACAACTGCCGCTCATCACAACGGATGTGTAGAGTCGCTTATTCGAGTGACCAAAGCAGCGCTCAAGAAATTGATCGGAGATCAAGTTCTCGCTCCTTTGGAGTGTCAAACGGTATTATTCGAAGCGGCAAACTTACTGAACCAACGCCCAATTGGTCGTATTCCTAATGATCCTGCAGACGGCACATACCTCTGCCCGAATGATATCCTGCTTGGCCAAGCATCGACTAACACACCCCAAGGCCCTTTCAGAGAAACGAAAAATCCACGCCATCGATATGAATTTTGTCAGCGTATCGTAGACAATTTTTGGAAAAGATGGTATCAAGATGTTTTTCCATCCATGGTTCCCCGACGGAAGTGGCATACTAAATGTAGAAATGTTCAGGTAGATGATATCGTTGTGGTCGCTGACCAGAATGCCATACGTGGGAAATGGAAGATAGCTCGTGTCACAGAAGTTTACCCAGGTGCAGTTGGAAGAATCCGAAATGTAAAGGTCCGTACAGCCACGGTGAGAGAATGCGTTTAACTTCACCGTCAATCCAGGGAGGTGAGTTGCTCCTTTTGAACGATATATTTTAATGGAATATATTCAGTAGCAACTCTGAGAAAGGGACCTTTCCATCGCGCCTCCCAATCGGTGTTGACGTCAGTTGACTGGTTAGAAGGAAAAGTAGTGTGATTGACTAGTGCATTTCGTAGACCGTCCCAATCGGCAAGTTTGAAGTTGAATACAGTTCTCTTGTCACGCCCTGTCATTTTTAAATGAAGCATAAAATCAAAGAACATCAGACGATGGTCACTTGAAAGGTTCAAAGATTTTGCTGAAACGTATGATAAACTACCAATGTTTTCTGAAGTGTTTGTTAGGATAAGGTCTAAGATATTGTATAGTCTAGTGGGATACATATTCACTTGGTGCAAAAAACAGTCGAATGTAAGTTCTCTAAACTCTGATGAACCAACCGAAGGAGTCCTTTCTGATATATTCGGTAGAAGAGAGGAATTCCAAGTTACGTCTAGGAATTAAAGTCACCAGTGATAAGTACTTTATCGTAGTGGAAAGTATAATTAAGAAATGCTTTGAATAATTCAAGCTACTGATTTAAGTTACAATTTGGTAGCCGATAATCTCCGATACAATGCTAAATGGTCAAAATTGCTGTTTTTATATGTTGGTGGAAAAGATAAAACCAGTAGCCCAAGTGCATGATTACCTGCAAACGACAGGCGACAACGCAAAATCCTTTAAAATTCATCAACGTAAGAAACGGGGCAGATACAGAAGTGAATTTCCAGTAACACTGGAAAGACATTTGCTCTATAATCAGAGCGCTTATATATAGGGCGATGCAACGCGTTGATGTCGCGTTGATCGATGTGTGATGCGGACAACGACTGGTACTAGCGTGCTTTTCGGCAAAAGTTGACAAAGAGCGCGATTTTTCCGGCTGTTGTATCATCGTGGTTGTTGCACGGTTCATCTTAGCTATTCTTATTGGACTTCATTGTACAAACTAATACAATGAGCTCAATCACCGTGATAGTGCACAAATTAACATAAACTCAAACCAAAACAAAAACATGATTATAGTGAGGCGGATATGTGTAAAATTATTGATCAGTAGCTCCCGTTGAGGTTAAAAGCATCAAACTTTTACAATTGATGTAGTTTTATTTGCTTAATAGATCTTTGAAGTGGGGCCATCGCTATTTCGCTGCTCGAAAACGGGTGATTAGTGATTTTCTTCTATTGAATAGTCTATTATAGCCAAAAAATGTGAAATTTTGCATTCAATTACAACAAATATGACTTGCATCATCAGAAAGCTTATAAAAAACTGCATATAAGACGTTTAGACAGTTTTTTGATTTCTGAAATAGTTTTCGAATTATAAACTGTTAAAAACGCATTTTCAAACATCGAATAATTACTGTAATAGGGACTTTTAGCGAGATAATGTACCTAATTTACAGCAATAACCATTTGAAGAATAAAAAAACTGTTTAAAAGTCTTTTATGTAGTTTTTTACAAGCTTTCTGATGATGCAAGTTATATTTGTCGCGATTGAATTCAAAATTTCACATTTTTTGTTGTAGTAGAATTTAATAGCAAATAATGTTATAGCATCGTAACTCTCTAAAAAAACCAGTTTCACGATGGCCCCACTTTTGCATGTTGTTCTACTCATAAAAAGATGCTACTGTGCACAATTTGGTCTTCGGAAACATCCATGCACATATCCGCCACACTAGATACAATGACTTCTGTTTAGTTTCCAGGCCATCATAATATCATATCTTGATAGACTGTTCACTATACATGCTGTACGCATCCTTTTTGCGCTTGGGACTGGGTGATCACTGATTTTACTGAGATGCGTTGTCCCATGAAAACAAGGTCTGCCATTTGTCCCGTATCAGAGTGTTTGTTATTTGGCTTTCCAGGGCAAAAAAGGAAAAGAGCTATGCCTATGGACGTAAATTAATCCATTGATCAAGCCCCAATGACGATATGTCCCAATGCACTCTTTCTTGTTTTTATCAATCTCGTACCCGGAGCTGGGTAAGAGATTGTTTTTTTTATACTCTATCGAATGCTAATTATTGGCTCTAAAGCCAACAATATGATTTGTAAATGAAAGCTTCAAAGTGTTAAATATTGAGAAGGATAACAAAAGTCAACACTCAAGATAAAAACTTAATAATTTGTGAGGACACAATTAGTCTCAGGGGTCCAGGCCATGCTCCCTTTAAGTCTCTGAAACGGCGTTACCTGCAGCATGGAGGCACTTGGAGAAAAAATGTATAGGTCTTAACAAATTACTTTGTAGTACTATACAGCTAAAAATAGGAGGCAGCCGAATGAAAACCAATTCAGACAATTCTTACTATTCTGATGCGAACATTTTCTTTAAGTTAATAAAGTAAAAATTACAACACAAAAGACCTTTATAATAACAAGTGTTTGCTTCCTGAAAAATCCGACCGTCATCTTGAAAATGGTTGGGGGTGAATGTCTCTCTTTAGGAGTCTTGCTAAGAGTGTGCCCGCAGTTATGTGCAGAGGAAACACCTTAATATATGGATTGAAGTGAGACCTCGGGATGACTATATACTGTGTGCCTTGTTTGAGCCAAATGAGGGAATGAATGCATGATTTTGCGCTGCTTTCTGCTGTTGAAACTTTTGTACCTGACAAAATCGTCGCAAAAGTAGCCCAGAAACTTTCACCATGATAATGTGCATGCGTTTAGATAGGGTCGTAACTTGATATCTGTTTGACGTCATAGGTGAAATGCGATTGATTGTGGTTGAAGTAGCGGGCGGGGTTTAAGTTTGAAGTATTATTTATTAGAGATATGAATAACCTAATGGTATTTTTAACTAGATGGATTATTGGGGAGAGTTTCAAGTCAAACCAAAGCCTTGGTTGAGCCGAATGAGCGAAATGATGTTGCGCACGTGTTTAAATAGGGTCGAAATTTGATATTTGTTTGACGTTATGGTTGGTTGATGGGATATGCATGCGTGCGTGCACGCGTGTGGTGGGAATATTCCTGATTGCATCAGTGACAGAGGTGTCGATGGATGCGTGTATGGATGCATGCATATGGGTACGTTGATGAAGGTCATTGTGTGCATTTTTAGGACGGAAATAAAATGAAAGAATGTGGGTTTTTTAATGATCCTAATTTTTTCCCGCCGAATCACGAACAATGGAAGTTTAAAAAATCGCTGGGGTCAATAATGCCCTTAAATAAAAGGCAATCTCGTATAACGATACAAGTCCATATGGGTAATAATGGTAAGTAACTCTTGCGCATGTTCGACTTATGCTTTCCCAACAATTATAATCACTCGCCAAAGGTATGGTTATAAATGTTTTATTTCTGAAGTAAATCTCAATAATATTAAGGTCTCGAGTCGGCTCACAATTCTCTTGATCATGAGTTCTCTTCAAAAAAGTACTCCGCCAGAGTGCCAGAGTGAAAATTTCATTGGAGTGGTACTTTAATATTAAGAATTAAAATGCCAAAAATATTTTCAAGAGCGAAATGTATGAATTGAACTGATTTAGTCTCAAAAACTACCCTAAGTTAAACATGGTATGCAGTAATAAGCCAAAACAACCAAAAAGCAGTTAGTTAAATGCAGGATATTCTACGAAGCGTCCGAGTTTGAATTTTAAGAGTATATAAGCTTTAATTAAACTAGACTTTTTACACATGATTTGATTAAAATAAATAAATTATCTGTTAAAAGTAAACTAATTCTCTTTTAAAAGTTAACTGTTACGCACTCAAGTAACGCAAATGTGTACAGTCATTTAATTAATGCCACGAAGTCATGTTACTTTATCTATATAGTGAAGGGCAATAACAAATCATCAAAACAAATCATTAAAAAAATTGTTGCAGAAGTCCAACCTGAATATTCAAGTAGAAACTCAGGATGAATATGTTCGTTGAAACACAGTTTGCATCTTGTGAAATTTCAAACGAAAGCGAGTGAAATTTTCAAATGTCCAGCTCTCTTTTAATCAATGTTTTGCCCGTAGTTTCTTTAACGCTGCTTCTTGCTCTTGTAATCTCCTTTTCAACTCGAGAACCTTCACATCTCGTGGAGATAAGAAAACATGGCTGCCATTAATAGCACAATTCTTACTTCCATAATTAGTTTGAGTGCCACTATAGGACGGACTGTGTTCTTGTCGTGTAAAACGCCCCATCGGCACTGATCTGTTGCTTGAATGAATCACATTATTACTATTTTCCTTGGCCTGGTCTGCACAATTGACGTTGTAACTTGTTGTTTGATTTTCAGCAGTATAATTTCTTTGGTCCATAAATTCATTTGTTGCATCAGGTAATACAGGAAGACCTCCATTGTTAATATTTTCTTGGTGATGCCTTACTGGACTATAAATATAACTCGATTTTGACTCTATCGCAAACTCGTTTAAAAACGGGTGAGTGGAACAAATGGAAGTAAATGCTGTTTTAATTTCACTACAAGAATTGGTATTTCGAGTTCCAATGAATTGTACAGGTTTTAAAGGAGGAGAACAAGGAGGTGTAACAGGAAACTCATTTTCGCGTAATCTATTTATTGTTTTTTGCTTAGTGTAGGAGGTAGGATCTTGAGACAATGTAAAAACATTAAGAATAACGGGCATGTTGCCATTCTCTGATTCATTTTGAACGACAAATGCAGTAGCTTCGTTGGGAACATCTGTCGATTGCGCAGGACTATCCAAGGGCCTTTTTAAATTGCGCATGCCCTTTTCTACATTAAAATTCTCTGAATGCCGATTACTGAGATGTTTTGAATGTTTTGCAGGTTGCGCAATGCAATTATCTTGATTTATTTTAAATTTTTTATGACCTTTCTCGTTGTCTTCCAAATGTATCGAAGAAGAATTCTGAGGACGCAAACATTGTTCGGTCGAACCGACACCAATCGTATCTTTAAATTCTTTCATTTGGTGAAATGCTGCTGCTTTCTCCATGTTATTGTGTAAGTTTTTCATAGGTTTTTGTTCAGTGTTCAGTCGCTTTTCTCCAACATTCATAAGATTGTTGTAATTTTCTGTATGATCAGCCATCTTCTGCGGACATTGCCGTCGTGTACGTCTATAAATTACACATATATGCAAAAGTGTCTATCAGTTGACTATTTACAAAATGACATATTTTAATGACATAAGCTACAATATTATTTCTTGTATATCTGCGTGCTCATGCATGCCATTGTTGTTACTATACTGCCATTTCACAGCAAATGGGAACATAGACGATCAGAGTAAGAGGTTTGAAATTTGTATTTAAAATTTCTGCACTTACATGAGCGTGCGAAATGCACGCGGGCTAGCATTCGGGCTGATTATTCTTTAATGGGCACGCCTGTGCGTTTAATGTTTAATCAGCACAGTTTTTAACCAATCAAGGTATGTTGACTAAAATGATATTAATATTAAGAGGCAATTTTTTTCAATGTCGCGTATTTGCGATGAAAATGACTTTGTTTTTAACTTATCTTGAAAAAAACCCCCAAAATAACAGTTAAATATTGTCAATGTAAATACAACAAGGTTCTCTATTGGGCGTTTAGTCGCTGGTGTTATTATACAGACCTAGGCCTGCACAAATTTGACTATAGGTGTCTATTCAAAATGTGTGTATTTAATTTACACACTAGTATGTTAGTAATGCAGGCAAAATACGCCTACATTTATAGGCGAATTACGGAGATAGAAAATACTTTCTCAATAATTATTATTTATTCACTCATGCCTAAATACTTGTTTAGTTAACATAATTTCCTAAATCAACACATTTAATTTCCCATTCAATTACAAATTCAAAATCAATAATCTGACCAATCAGAATTCTCCGTCACTCAGCTGCCGCTGCTCAGAATACATAGGATTTTGGGGGTACCGCCTGCTACATGTTGTTAGACTATCCCTAGAGCTTTAAGGCAAGGTATCGTCGAAACAACTCCTCATTCAACATGTCAACTCATCGATCATAACTATCATGCTCACACCGCCAATGTGTTTTGCTGACTCAGCAGTTATTTGGTTTAATGCTTACCTTACAAAAAGATCTCAGGGTGTCAATGTAAACAGAGTGTTATCTGACCCCCAACCCATTCAGTTCGATGTTCCACAGGGTTTTATACTATAGGGCGCTATTATTTACAGTTTACAGGGCCGTGCCACCTGGTGTGTGTGTGTGTGTGAGGGGGGGGGGGGGGGGGGAAGGAACCCCCCCCCCCCCTCCCAACCAGAAACCGGTTGGCACGGCCCTGACAGTTTATACAAATGACCTATCAACCGTGAAATACAACTTTATGCTGATGACATTATTTCAGCAGTACCTGTACAGCAACGATCGAATCTTGCCTATCCGAGCATTCCTAGACTTAAATAACATAAGATGGCTTGAAAAGAACTTTCTTTTCCTCAATTATGCTAAAACTAGGAACGCACGAAAAGCTTGCCAAAGTGAGCAGTTTCTGTATAAATTGTAGCCAACGAGTATAGTTTGAACAGAGTTTATCAGTTCGAATATCTCGGCGATGCTAGCTAGACATGCATGTCTGTCGTGGAACGATCACATAGATTAATATATTACCAGTCAAATATGAAATATCATCACGTTTCGGCATAGTACGAAGAGCACGTAAAGTTAGTCCTCGCGAGGCCTGTATTATGCTCCATAATGCCACGGTACTTCTACTATTCGATTACTAGTGCTACCAGTGCATTTGCTTCACGGTTTCAACTATTCCAGCGTTTACCATGCGTATATATCACAAAGGACAAAGATTTACTCCGTTTACAATTAGCTAAGACCGTCACTTTCCAAAGCTCGTTCAAGTAAAGCGGAGCTAAAATATGGAATGAACTTCCATCTCTTCCAAGAAATTAATTAATTAAGCGTGTACGTCCTCTAAAGTCTAAGACAGTCCTAAAGAAACATTTCAGGACCATTTAGTTTGTATATTGTTTCATAAGTATAGCTTGACGTTGTTCATAAATAGCCTAATTCATTCTGTAAATTTAGTATGTTCTATGTGAATGCAGGACTCCATTTAAACCATGAACCCAACGGCTGAATTGGACGATCCTGGATACATATTGCTATCATCATCATCATCATCATCAACGGTCATGCATCAATTGTGTCAATAGACCTTATGCATAATGACGTCACAAGGCTTGATGCCCGCGAGGAATGCTGGTCTTAGTAGTCATCGCTCGGGAAAATTAAACAATTCAACTAATGGCCACTAACGAAATTTTCCCGGGCGATGACTACTAAGACCAGCATACATTTACCTCGCGGGCATCAAGCCTTGTGACGTCATTATGCATAAGGTCTATTACAACATACGTCATATTTACATGTATTTGCTAGTAGAAGCCTAACAAGCTTTATCAACCCGAGATGAATAAAGTTATTTATCTATCTATCTATAGAGTGAGAGAGAACCAAAATGATTTTTGCATTAGCCATTAAAGCATTAGCTATATTCAGTAATATGACTGATGTAAACAAAGAACTCGATAACTGGACTAACTTAAGGTGGCTCCATAGGGTGTTTGCATTATACTACACTATAGTATCCAGGAGACTCCTGTTACTTCACTTTGCATGACATGAAGACGAAATTTATTGGACACATTGACAATGCTCTCCTGAACATTGCAAATTGCTAATTTTGTGTTGAAAGTCTGTTACCATGGCAACAGTATGCTTAGAATAAAGCTCAAAATTTGTCTTTTTAGGCCATTTTAAAATTCCCTTCGGTAAATTATTTTAAAACTTTGCATTAAAGATAATACAGTCTGATATAATGATTTTTTTCCTTCAATTTGAAAAATCAATATTAAAAATTTTCCCTTTGATAGAATTAAAAAAAGAGTTTTTTATGGTGACAGGTATGTTTGTGGAGTTTCTGCCCTGCTTATTTCACTCGTAGAAGGCTCATTATTTAAGTCACCTTTAATTACTATCAGAAGTGCTGCTAGATTATACAAAAAACACTGCAAATACTTGAGGAAAATTTATATCCGATCCCGATGTTCGCGATGGGACCCTCGCATACGGCGGTCAAAAACGTCCAGAAATATATCGCTTGAAAAAAAACAAATTTACATTGTCTTCCGTTCTGAAACATCACGTCCAGGCATCGTTGTGGATTTAGAACTCTTTTTATGCTTTTAACAAAAGCAAAGTTCACACATTTGTTTCAAAAAAGAATTTACATAAAACACAACGTTCGTTCGTATTTTGGGGTCACACGAGTTTAATCAAAGGTTTAATACACGCGATAGTTTACATATATACGAAGAACGTACGGTTACCTCCGGGAATAAAGCCCTACAGAGCCACCTTAACAGTGGCGGAAATTCACTTTTTCCGGGGGGGGGCAAACCCTCCTAAATTTCCGACAAAACTTTCAAATTTCCGACGTACCCCCCCATTTGCACTCGAAAAGACTGTTTTTAGCCCTCTTTTAGGTCAACATTTCCGAAAATTCGGCAATTTTCCGTGAAGGTGGCGGCCGCCAAGATTTCCGCCACTGCACCTTAAGACTATAAATAACAATAATTCGGAAATGTAGTGTCAATAAAAACTATCAGAACGACAGAAACTGACAAGTATACGATTATATGATTTTGGCACTAACAGCAATTACATATTTTTGTATAATTATTTTATTTTTTATTTTATCACCTTTATTGGGCACAAAAGAAAGACGCGTGAGCAGTTCATCCTATCATATTATATCGAGTGAACATGTACGCCCATACATCATTTTCACGGCTCATAAATGACGTTAGGGATGTTTTAAGTGAACTTACTAACTATTTACATGCAGTAAAGGTTGTAAAAAAATAAATACTCTTTTTCGAGAGACCAGTGAAGTTTACTGAATAGTGTATGTTTGACTCGCAAAGTGATTTTCTTTTCTGCAGCGTTGCCGTGATGTCGGTTGCCAGAGGGTCGCACGTCTCTGAAGTACGTAATATGTATTGTCAGCTCATTAATAATTCGTGAGCAACATACAAAGGAAACCAGCATATAACCCTTGATACTGGGATAATAAAAGTCCATAAATTAACTCAACTATCTAATACTTGTAGAGAAGTATAAATATAACAAACTGGAAAACTGTTTATTACCGATTCAAAAACTCATTAATAATTCATGAAGCAATTATCCAATCTTGAGTAAGAAATTAGTCACTGCATATGTCTTTATACCAAGCCCGTAGCTGGCTCTCAATTTCTGAGGGGGCACTGCAGAAGGAATGTAACAGAGGGGTTGGGATGATTTTGACTTTCGTGCTAGCAGCTAGTTTTCCTTTCCAGCTCAGAAAAATTGGGATCGAACAGAACGTTCTTCTACACTGTAAAAGTATTATACTTGTGCTCAATTTTGTGAGTCTTTAAAGTTCTGTATAGGGTTAGTTCAGCCGTCTGCTATCTAGCCTAGCTTCTAACAATGAGGTTATTTATTTTAGTCCACAAGCAATCTATTTTCATACAAAAATTGACAAAATTTTCATACAAAAGGTGTATGGTATTGTAATGCATATGATTTTATTGACCCAGCCCTGCTATCTTTGTTTAGTATACATTCAACAATCATGGAATATTACAAATTCATAATTTTGATTGGTTCCTCAACCATTGATATAATCCATGGTAAAGAAAAATACAAAACAAAATTAGAAATCACGCACTATTTGTGGATATTTTTGTCTAAATTAATACAAAAATATAAAATTAACCTCAGCATATAGTAAGAAATTAGGCTATGCGGTTGTCTTTGTTGGCTTGGATTTGACAGCCGAGTTGTCTATTTTTTTAAATGGCAAAAAATGTGGAATAGCTGGTATAAAGCAGCCCCCCCCCAGCTACGGGCCTGCTTTATACCAGCTAAAGAACACTTTAACAAAAGATCATTGTTATGCAAACTATATAAAGATTTTTATATAAAGATTTTTACATAAAGATTTTTATATAAAGATTTTTATATAAAGATTTGACTTATTATGCAAACGTTTTTGAAGTAATGTTTAATAAACGAGTAGGAGTGTTTTATCACAACTTCAAAAACTCATTAATAATTCATGAACCAATTATCCAATCTTGAGTAAGAAATTAGTCACGTGCATACGTCTTTATACCAGCTAAAGAACACTTTAACAAAAGACCATTGTTATGCAAACTATATAAAGGTTTTTATATAAAGATTTTTATATAAAGATTTTTATATAAAGATTTTTATATAAAGATTTGACTTATTATGCATACGTTTTTGAAGTCATTTAAAAAACTCGCGTGTCGTGTTTTATTAGGTCTAAAGCCACTCGCGCTGCGCGCTCGTGGCTTTAAACCTAATAAAACACTCCTGCTCGTTTTTTAAATAGTACATAAAACACGACGCGTAGCGGAGTGTTTTATATGTGATAAAACACGAACTACGAGTTTATTAAACAGCTTCAAAAACGTCTCAGTTAGATCACTGCATTGGCGAAATAATTTTCCAAAATAACTTTGTATTAGCTGAGAAAATCAAAGTTAAAGTTTATGTAAATGAAAGGAAATCTTTATCAACATATAAAGATACGACACGCTTATGATTTTTCTGTGTTTTCCTCATGAATTATTAATGAGTTTTTGAAGCCATTTAAAAAACTCGCAGATCGTGTTTTATTAGGTCGTGCTTTAAACCTAATAAACACTCCTGCTCGTTTTTTAAATAGTACATAAAACACATCAAAAGATAACGTCTTCACCGTGTACTTGGAGTATTCGGCAGGTTTAACAATAAAACGTTGCTGTGTTCAGTGTGTTGAGTATTTATATATTTATTTTATTTACTAATTCGCCCAAATTACATAATATAAATCAAAAATAGAAGTATTTACAATAATAGGGCTAGGAACCTTCTAGAAACCATAAGGCTTTTTAATTAAGGTCCCTAGTTACAATTTTAAATTAAATTAATATTATAATAGATTACCAGTTCAAATATTTTTTGATAAAGTAAGGTGATATTAGATATTAGATTATATTACAACAATTTAATTCTGTCGAGAATTCTATTTGTTGAATTAAGAATGAAGAAAATACTTTTTCATTGCCGTTTTGAATATTGGAAAAGATCTAATTTCTTTATATTGGAAAGGAAGATTATTCCACACATCAATTCCTTTGTTAACGAGCGTGTGTTTATTATAATTTGTTCTATTATATTTTTTGTGAAGCGAAGATGCATTTCTTGTGTTATAATTATGGATATCTTTGTTGGTCATAAAATAATTGGTAAAAATTTCTGGAAGATTATGCAGATGAAAATATCGGAACATAAATGAACTTGTTAAGTATTCATTTAATTTGTACAAGTTTAATATTTTTAAATCATTAAAAATATTAATATATAGTATAGCTACATTAGTACATTTACAGTATGTCTTATGATTTGATCCTAGCTTTATTCTAGTAAATAAATTGCCGTTTTTATACTAGAGACGCATTATGCGTCTGGACGAAATTGGGCAAGCATTTGTTGTTCGTCTGGTTATGCGTCCTCAGTATAAAGACGGCGGGCACAAGACGCATTATGCGTCCAGACGAACTATGTTCGATTCTTCGTCTTAAGAGACGCACAACCGATGATAGTTCGTCTAGACGCATAATGCGTCTTGTACTCTTGTGCCCGTCTTTATACTGAGGACGCATAACCAGACAAACAATAAATGCTGATAGTTCGTCGGATTATTCGTCCCGCCTTTAAGCCTGGTTTCCACTAGGCGGAATTTTGCGCGCGGAGCGGAATCTTTCTTAAGGCTGGTTTCCAGTCAGTGGAATTTTGCGCGCGGGCGGAATTTTTTAGGCGGATTTTGATCTGCGCATGCGCATATTGTAATTTTGTATGCGTCAGCAGGCGGAAAAGTTTCCTCCAAGTTCCTTCAAGCGCACAAAAAAAAGAAGTTGACCTTTGTTCTACTTTCCCGTTTTGCGAGCGGCGGAAAATTATTTCAACCAATCAGATTGCGTCTTGAAGACACCTTCCTGCATTGCTGTGGTTTGAAAAGAAAAATGTCTGACAATGCTAAAAGAATTGTATGCGGTATAGAAGGACGTAAAACCATGCTATTAAGCCAAAAAAAGGGACAGATCAAAGAAATATCTATACTACAGACTTCCGTGCTCTTGAAAATCTTCCCGAAGTCAACCGAAGCATAATACATCAACCAGAACCAAGTCAACAAGTTTCTGCAAGTAGTTCGTCAGGTGAAGGTATGTCGTGAAAATTTATACCGTATATTAAGACCCTTTTGAAGTTTGACATTCGACTAATAATAAATGCTTAGCTCTATATGAACTGATTTGGTGTAATTATTTAATGTTTTTGACTTTTTGGCATGTATTAAAACTCGTCACGACTCAGACAGTCAACTCAGAGGTTTGTTGATTTTAATTTTATATGTTTGTATTTATAATACTGCAGTTGGTGTCAGTGTGATAGAAGATACTGTGTCAGGTGAAGAAGCAGTAGATGTTGATAATGATGGAGAACCAGGAGAAGAAGCATTTCTCGAGGAATACACTGCCGAGGGTTTGATAGAGGAAGTCAGAAGTCGCCCTTGCTTGTGGAACACCTCGTTGAGGGTTTACAAAGAAGCAAACAGAAAGAAAATTGCATGGGAACAGATTGCTCAAAAATTTAGCAAAGATGGTTAGTTTGTGTATATGATTATTTATACTGTCAATAGTGATTAAACCCCTACAAAAATAGGCCTGGTGACAGCCGTGCCTTCATCTGTAGTCCCGGATAGAACGGGCCATTCCATGTAATATAGGCCACCCCCTATTGAGGGGTCTAGATTTCCAACAAGGGAGGGGGTCTTTTATTTAAATTTTCCACAAAATGGCCCAATACACTCAATGTTGCCATCTGATATTACTGTTTTTGTTGTGTTTCTGTTTTTGTTATGCAGCTCAGGTTTTTACCTTTTGTGAACACTATATTCTTAAAAAGTAAAAACATGTTGTGTTTAGTTATAAATAATAATAAGTATATTTACTCAGCCTGCACAGCCTGAAAAGGTTTTCCAGAAGGTTTCCTTCTCCCTAACACATGCTGATGCTTGTCTTTAATAATTATCATATTTTTTGTTTTCTAGTTGATTTTCTGAAGCTTCAGTGGAAGTATTTAAAAGACAATTTGAAACGATGTCTTGACAGGCGAAACAGGGAAATGAGATCTGGCGCAGCTGCATGTAAAACGTCGACATGCAAGTATTTCGAAAACTTAGCATTTCTGCAGGATAAAATTGCAAATCGAGATACAGTTAGCAATGTGAAACTTGGTTTAGGATCAACAGCAGATTCATCTTTGTTGCCAGAGCAACCTGTAGTTACAATCAAAGATGAAGAAACACCATCTGTCAAGAAAAGAAAAACATTGGACGGTGTTATATGTTCTCATGAAAAAAGACCGGTGAGCAGAGCTAGGAAAGCCAGTGACCAAGTTGATACAATGCTACTGAAAGCACTAAAAGACTTGGACAAACCAACAACACAGGAAATGCCAGAAGCCAAATCTGCAGAATCTGATTCTGATACCTTGTTTTGTCAAAGCTTAATCCCAACTTTAAAATCTTTGGGAACTAAAGAAAATATGAAGGCAAAGGTGCAAATCCAGCAGCTGCTTTTTACTCTGAAATTTCCAGATTCTGAAGAGTAGAATTAAATTTTGAGTGTAACTACATGTTTTGATATAAAAGTATAATAAACAAAAATATAATTTATGCAATGTATTATAAATCCTTATGTGAATTTTACACATAAGGACATATTTCGAATACAGTGATTACACAATGTCGAACAGTTGAAACATTTATTAATTCATTAATTAATTATTTTAAATTATTTAACATGAGAACAATTTCATTATTTGTATTCATAAATTAAATTATTATGCATTGGTCAATTCCAGAAGTTCCAGTTTATGCACACCTGGAACATCAAAATGCTAAGTGTGCAACTGTCTGAGGAGATGGGCATTGCTGGAATTGAATGATGTATTATTTATACAACACACTGTATATAATATTTAAATAAAGTTTAGCCTTTTATAAGTAGAGCCTGCCCGAAAGCCCTAGTCAAATTGATGCCGCCCACTTAGTTAATATTCCATATTAACACCGCCCACTCGAAATAGTTTTGTATAAATTGATGACTTGAAATGTCAATTGTTGCATATTTACTATAGCCTGCGCTACATGCTTTCAATATAAAACTTTTTACAATAGATGGATAGCGATTCAACTGCCTGGAAATACAAGCAAAACGTCGGCATTTCGAGCGAAGGCCCTTCGACTTTGTCTGGAAATTAATAGTAGACGAAGACCGTTCAAAATTATGTTATGCTTTGCACCTGTATGGCTGTATAAATACAGTTATAAATATTGCAGTATTAAATATAAATAAATGACTTAGGAAAAGTAAATAGAACCCTTCTCGTGTTATACACGTTGGCAGGCAAATGTATTTTAAATGCTCCAAAGAGAGCTTCGGATTATTATGCTGTATTAAACACAATGGGGAATTATTATTTTATATAATCGTAATTTGCCAGCCAGCAAAATATAGACAAGGCAAGGACAGCCAAGGTTTTATACTCTATACTATAGTGACCATACGGTAAAATCATACGACATATGCAGTAATAGCAGTATGGCTTGCCTTATTCTGTTTAGATACCGGTATATGTTATACATTTTACACTTTCTCTTTTGAATTTATATTTTAGCCGACAGGTTTACACTTTAATATAGCGATGCCGTTTGTTTTACTGTATTTATTTTTAAATTGTTGAATAAATTAGCGTAACATGTCAATCAACCTGTCGTCAACGTAAATTCAGCCAATCACAATTCTCGGCAGCTGGCTGCCGAGAGCATCAATTTTACTAGGGCTTCCGGGCAGGCTCTCTTTCAATTATCTGCCCTATAAAAGAGCCGGCCACGCTGGCTAAATAAAGTTTAAAATCCAACTGCTTTGTCAAATGGATTTGTTATGCCTAGTGCAATGTCATTTTGCCATGGAACTACCCCTTCAGGGCTATTAAAGTACTCTCTGTATCTTTCTCGCACTGCACTTGCACTTTGCGAGTAGTTGTTGGACCCAGTCTGACCAAATGGAATTAGTCCAGCAGTCGATTGGGTATCCCTTCGCCAGTTACCAGGTTTAAGTGAGTCGATAATTCGACGAGCTCTTGATAACCGATAATTAAAGATGCTCTTGGTAAATCACCCTGCTTGCCCGGATAGGTTTCATGATGTTGCTCTTTAGTGGAAATGCATCATCAGCCACAAAGACAGAAGGAACTTTAATTTCAGAGGAGGGCAGCTTTTCACTTGAGGGAAAACCAAGTAATTGATTGTCAATTGCAAAACCCAGCTTGCTGTTGCTATAAACACCCCCGTCACTTTGTCTGCTGCGTCTCCCACGTCCACAAGGGTAAACTGATAATCGGCATCACAAACTGCCATTAAAACAATACTGAATGTCTTCTTGTAATTGAAAAGATCAGACCCAGACCTGGGCGGTGCTTGGACAACAACATGCTTGCCATCTATAGCTCCAATACAATTAGGGAAGTTCCACTTTTCTTTAAAGTACTTCGAAATGGCCTTCCACTCTATTGCAGTTCTAGGAACACGCAAAAATCCCTTTTCATCGAGAACGTCCAAAATGGCTTTTGTCGTCTCCTTTATTATTTTACTTATAGTTGCTGGACCTATTCTGTAGATGCAGCGATAGTTACTTGTGCATCACCCGTGACAAGATAACGTAAGGTAACACATAGCCTTTCCTTTGGACTAATTGCTTCTCGTCTTTGCGACGACTTGAAAATACGAGGGCCTATCCATGAAAGAAGTTGCTCCAAAGAAGTAGGACTCATTCTGAACGACTTGAAAAAGTATTCATGGTCGTAAAGTTCCATGTCTTTAATTAGTAACCAAAATTCGCCTTTTATTTTTCGTTCAACAAATAACTTTCTAACCCACTTGCTCTTGAAATACTTTCTTCTCTGGATACGTCTTCTCAACAAGTAAAGAAGAATTATTCGTCTAAGCTGCTTGCCATTGCTAGTAGCCGCCATTTTGCGGAAAATAAATTGCAAAATGCGCGGACTGTGTATTGCCATCAATCCGCCCGCAGCAAAATCCGCCTGAAAAATTCCGCCCGCTGGCCCCGCGCGCAAAATTCCACTGACTGGAAACCAGCCTTAAGTCTTTTCTAATTAGTTCCACCCGAGAAATCACAAGACAAAGAAAAATTCCGCTCCGCGCACAAAATTCCGCTTAGTGGAAAACCGGCTTTATACTAGACGAATAATATAGAAGACGGATTATGCGTCCAGACGCATAATGCGTCTCTAGTATAAAAACGGCCAAGTTGGCCACTAATTAGTATTAAATAAATGCACAATATTCAATAAACGCGGCCATCGGTTCTTGTCCCCAAAGCCCAAAACTATTGAAATAACGTATTGTTAGAATTTGAATGCCTGAGCACTCTGCTGAACCCACAACTGCATAAAAGCTTGACGTAAGTAAATTTTATGCATAAAGAAACTCTTTAAGAAGCTGCTTTAAATTCCCAAGAGCAGAAAATCGTGGGCTAATACAAAGATATTTTTATTTCTTAATAAGTTAATATTTAATATATGCACCCTTGTCAATATTTTACGCAATTTTGCGTTCAACTTAGTGCCAGCTAGGCCTAGGGCATTCAAATTTTAACAATACGCTATTTCAATGGTTTTGCCTTTTGGGACACCCTGTATGTCTAGGATATTCGTATATTAAATTAAAGCAGGACATTCGTGTAGTTAATAAGTTGGATTTGTTACATACCTTGGCAACTTCTGTTTACGTTTCATATTTCGCACTATCGTGTGGTCAGTGAGTGACACCGCGTATAAAATAAATTGGCGGTGTGTGCGGCAATCTTATTCAGCTTTCAAAACGGCGTGCTTTTCGTTTTATCCTAAATGATAAAATAAGCAAGCATGTGAATGATTGCAAACATTCATTGTATACGTAACAATGTAGCGCATATAAACTCGATCAATTAACTCATGGCGGACTGAGCATTCAAACGACGTGATTCGTTTCAAGTGACAGATATTGACACTTTATGGCAATGAATATAAGTTAACTATGATCCCTCGTAAGTAAGTAGCAAGATAAAGCAATGATGTTTGTGATGTTACTCTGAGTGTATATCCACACCGGGCAAGCATATTTTTCAAGCTTGCCCGGTGTGGATATATACACTCAGAGTAACATCACAAACATCATATTCACCTGAGTACACAACAACAACAGCGGGCAACACAGAAAAAAAAAGATAAAGTAAATCGCAGTCGCAGAGATATCCAAGATATCCTCATTTGCTTTCAGTCATTAATAAATCTTATACACAATGTTCTGTACGTCTTACCTTTTTGATTTTTCCTAAGCAATCCCTTTAAACCTTCCAGTTTGTCAAGTTAACAGAAATCGCACTCTACTCTAGGTTTACCACCGAACAACGCAGGAGTAAATCGTTGACTTGATTATTAGCATACCTATGGCATAGGAAGTCCATATATGGTCATTTAATTGACACAACTTGACCCACCCTAGTGTGATTTGTAATTCAACCCACGTGTTCAACCGCATGGAAAACTAGCATGTTTATGTGCGCTTGGAAATATTTTTACGGAACACAATACAAAATGATTTTGAAAAGATTATTCACAGTGTTTTCAATAGTCATAATATAATCTATGTCATCTATACTGTATGTCTTCTATGCCTACATATGGGGCCAAGGAAGCAGTTTTTAATATGATTAGGTGCCTAGAAAGCTGTCCATATTACGTTTCATATTTCGCCATAATTTTATGAAGGTCCAGACACACCGGACGCGATTCGACAACGCGACGCGATTTTTTAGTTTTTGAAAGTTAAAAAAACAGCCAATGAGAGCAAATTTTTGATGATATGTAGACCAAATAACTCCAAGTATTATAGCGCTTCTAAATATTTGGAAAATTTAAATTAGGATCAAAGTTATCGGTCAGTGAAAATCGAAAAATCGCGTCGCATTATGAATCGCATCCGGTGTGTCTGGACTTTTACGTTTCATGTTGTCGAAACGCGAAGTGGTGAGATGGATATCATTGCCATATTCACCGACAACAAAACAAAAAAAGTGACAAAAAAACATCGTTACCAAAATAATTTGAAAACAACAGTTTGTATTTCAGCTCCCGTAATAGTTGTAACAAAACAGTGTTTACACGCTTCTAGTAATTCCATTCATAAGAAATACCTACACTGCTTCCAAGTCCCAAAACCTTGTGTCTCTTTGTGTTTGCCAAAATCACTGCTTCGTTTAGTCGCATTTGGTTTTTGTCCGGACTTAAATAGTGCAAAGTATTATCCACCTCCAGAGTATGCTAATTTACTTTGATTTAATGATGCAGATTGTTCTTACTAGACTGAGTTGTGATTTATAGCGAGCTTGTGATGGATATACAGGGTTTATAAAAAAAATGTACAGCCTTTCAAATTCAAATTAACCGTAACCCATTGTAGTAATTTGACAGCCGTATAATTTCCCGAATTAATGAATGCGTGAAAACACAAGGTCTTCTGCTCATGCGCGGAATTTAGGATAACTTCTATTTGTATGAACTGAAATACACAACTCAAAGAAAAATGTTTAACTTAAGCATTATTCAAGTCTGCATAAGATATAAAATGGGCCAGCTTACTGCAGAGCGACGAGTATTTAAAAGATTATGCGGCTAATTTGAATTTGAAAGGGTGTATATTTTTTACACACCCTGTATATATGTTTATTATATTCAGGAGTTTTAATATGAAACCTGAAACCCAAAAGTCTAGGCCATTTTAAATAAGTTAGCTGTTTGTGCACTACGTCTAAATTATATCGTATAATGGGTTTTTCTAATTCTGTGTCCATTTGCGCCAAAGTTTTATATTTTTGCAGGCGTTGCAAATGTCATAACAGTCTAATAGAGAACTTAAGCAAGCGACCGTTTTGATTAGTCACGTCTAGGACCGTGTCAAAATAATTTTCGCGGCATATATAATCCATAGCTTTGACAATACCATGATTTAAAGACAGCACAAACAGTGTTGATAAAACCTGGCAGAAATTAAAAAGTCCTTTTTAATAATCGCGAAGGTTTTCGAAACATGATCGGTAGTAACTTTAAAATCACAATTCGACTTAACTCCCTCCAACAATTACGAAATGAAATCTCTGGTAATGTTTTACGTTTTGACGGAAAAGTTACGGTAAATTTAACTCTCCCATGTTATGAGTTTGTGGTGTCACTCTGAGTGTGCATCCACACCGGGCAAGCTGAAAAGTTTGCCCGACCACGGTGGGAATCAAACCCGCCAACTTTGGGATATTAGTCCAATGATTTACCAACTGTGCTGCGAGGTCAAGTCGGTTCGAGTTGGTGATATTCCAAAGGTCGCGGGTTCGATTCCAACCGTGGTCAGGCAAACTTTTCAGCTTGCCTGGTGCGGATGCACACTCGAGCTCAGAGTAACACCACCAACATCATATTCATCTGAGTACATAACACCAACACACACAAAAAGTATCTCCCATGTTAGTTGAAAGTTAACATTGGGAAAAAAGTGGGCGTGGCTCGAACTTAACTCTCCGAAATCATAAATCTCTCTCTTATAACTCTCCGTTTCTCTACTAGCGGGAAATGAGCAAATTTTGCTAGTAGAGAACCAATCAGATAGCAGAATAGCTTATATCCGGTAGTTGTCTATATAATAAAGTCGGTTAACTAACGTACCCAAAATTAGGGTTATATTATAAATTTAAAGGTAAGTTTGAGACTCATAAGCTATAACGTGCATTAAGTCATATTCTGATACAAAGCAGCAACCATTTAATTGAGCTCGGCATTTGGGTAATTGGATTAAATTCCAAAGGAACTGCCACTACGGTTCACGCCCTATACTGTAGCTGGCGGACAATTCTAAAAATCGTCCAAAATTATTGTACATTACAATAATTCCTAGTGCATAAAAGCCAATCGTAAGTTCGAATAAGTTATATAAAAAGCTCCACAGAGTTCTGTCTGTTCACTTCTTTTGTGAAACACTGAGCTGTCCATGCTAATACTTGAACCTTATTGAGACGTTTGAAGTTGCTAAAGCGACACGCGGTTCCATATTTCCTATACTGTTCCATCACAACCATACATGTATTTCTGGTCCAGATTTGGCGCATTCGGCAGTTGTTCATTTGAAGATTCCTTGTTGGGATGTGCTAAAGAAGTTTGATGACTTAGCGAATCGTTTCTTGTCGACAATCGAAGTTTAATCTTATCAATTGTAGCTGACAAAGTACTCTTTTTTGATAAGAAGCGAACTTTTTCGACTTCTGCTTCTTTTTGACGTAATAGATCCTTTAAACGAAGGATTCTCGCCTCCCGTTCTGTCATAATACCTACATTGGTTGTATCTGCTGCGTTGCACATCGCGATCAAATCTGGTTGTTCTGCTGTAAGGCAGTTATGTTCTGTAGAGCAGTGAGGTCTCCTTTTCCATGATAGCACACCATCAAAGTTAGTAGCATGGTCTTCCACCTTCATGTCAAGTACTTCCGATTGTGACTCAGAAGGGTTTATATCTTTGTCTGTGCCATTAACACGCAAGAGATTCGATAGTTTAGTATCAGAACCTGCAATAATGTAGCAACCTCTTAGAAAGTTTTGAAAACCTGGATTAATGTCTTCATTTTTTACTCCAGTCGTTCGTGTTTGGGAGGAAACTGTAATGGCTTCATCCTCGTGGCAATTAACGACGAATGAAGAAACGACTGGGTTATTATCACCTTTCTCTGGGTAATCAAAAGTTTTGGGTATTACTGTTTTTGGGATTAAAGGGGAAATTGTGAGCTGGTTATCAATAAGTTCCTTATTCAAATTATGGTTTTCTGTTTGGATTTCACTAGATGATGATGCCAATGAAAAAACCGATGTAATAATAGGAAAACCATCGTCATATTGTTTTAACAAATAATGTTCAGGAGATTCAGTTTGAACCATAGAATTTGAACTGATCCGTTCTTCTTCATCAAGGCCACTTGTAGAACTGGTGTAAGCACGAGACAAGGCCATTTTCCTGTAAAGGATAAAGACAACGACCTTTGGTCCAATTCCTTTATAGGATGTAGGTAAATTTTTGAAAAAAGAACAAGCGGATAGGCGTCGTTCGAATTTGGGGCCTGATATAAATTTCGGCATAAGTCGGGATAATTTGTTAGATTTTTGAAAACCAATACAACTTTCATTATTTGTTAAAATTTTTGTTCATATTTGTTCAGACCCTCTGTGCGAATCCGTGTTTTATGTGTCCAATAAAGCTTAGCGTATATCTTTAAGCGGAAAACGACATATTGTTGTTTATGTTGCTGCAATACACCCTCCCTGAAAGTACGTCATCTTGGCTATTGGACCTCGTTTTCGTAATTTCAACGTGGGCTTTAACTAATGTCACATACACGAAAACGAGGCTCTATGGCTAAAGTGACGTTATTTCCGAAAAGGGTGTAATGTTGAATTTGATATTGTTAGAGTTGCAGAAGTTGTTGGTGCGCTGGTGGGTGTTACTTAACACGGTTTGCCTTTTTCGGAAACGGAAAGGCCAAGGATGTATTGTTTTTGTTGGGAACTTTGTAATACACGCTTCCGGAAAGCACGTCACTTTGGCTATAGAGCCTCGTTTTCGAGATTGACACATAGGCTTCAACTAATGTCAGATACACGAAAACGAGGCTCTATAGCCAAAGTGACGTACTTTCCGGAAGGGTGTATTGGGACAGCCTCGAAAGAATTGGCAAGTGAGATGGATATACTCAAATAGACGATAAAGCGATATTATCTGAAAATGGACTGACAATTACAAAATTCATCTTAAGAATGTATCTGTAATTGAGCAAAAGTTTGGAGGAAACCCGATGCTTTTAGTGAGCAGATAACTGTTAAATGCTAATGAAAAGATGGATAGAGGAGTTAACGGATAGATAAATTGACCAGGGTAAACTGGTCAAGTGTTTATAATCTTGCAATATTCTCACATTACAGCACAATAAATAGATGGAAATCAAGTCTTGCTGTACCCTGGTTGCCAGAGGTTCTGTATCTTTCGCCTTATTCCCGCTCGTATTTATTTTACGCGAGGCGAAGAAGCGAGGCGAAGAAGCTTTATTCTTCGCCTCACGTAAAATAAATACGAGAGGGAATAAGGCGAAAGATACAGAACCTCTGGCAACCAGAGTAGTCTTGCTGGAGCGTGTTGTAAATATTGTTTGAAGAGAAATTAAATTGCAGCAATGGCATGTAGGCTTCCGTCCAATTTCAAAGAATTTCAGTTACAACACTGGAAGTTTTATGTTGTTTATGTCATTATTACGAGTGTTCACCAAAAATTTTGAACCAATAGGATTAATTCCTCCTGAGTTACAGCGTCTTGAAGAATGAAAGTGCTGGCGTCAGCATTATTTTCGAGTGTACACCTTCATAAACAGTGTATACTCAAAATGTAGTTAAAAATTCTCGTTTAAGGTTAAGACGGGACTTCATATCTGATATAAACGAGAATTTAGACATTTTGGCCCAAATTCGCCTTTATTTTAGTAGGCGCTTGGTTGTATAAAATTGGCAATTTTAATTCGAATCCAATCTTTAATTAAGCGCCTTCGACTCATACTGACAGTTATTGATCTGATCACATTATTAGTGACATTATTCATGTATAAATTTCATAATTGCCTTTTGCCTTTAAATTTCAACGATTACTTCGCACCTGTGCATCCGAATGGACAACTTGCATGTTAGACTAAATTTTAATCTAAGTAAAGAGAAGGGAATCAAACATAACAGTTAAAAAGAGCACAATGAAATTAGTAAAATTGCAAAATTTGATTGCGAAATGTTGTAAAGACAGAAGATATAGCGGGAATTTACTTTACGGGAATTTACTTTTTTTTGCCTAAACCAAAAATTAGTCTAACATGCAAGTTGTCTATTACATTCATGTAATACAAGACTTGCGTCGAGACTGTGTTTATCATTACCTAAACCCAGGACAAATTTTGGTTTATTTAACATTAGGGACGGACCATTAGAAAGA